GAGGAGAATGGAGGAGAAGGGATTGCGGCGTGACCATCCCCCCTGGGGGGTGATTTCTCGCTTTCTGTCTCTCTGTCTCTCTCTGTCTGTCTGGCGAGTGCACGCGCCCTACAGTGAAAAATCTCTCCAAAAAAAAAAGAAAGTAAAAAAAATGGTTTAAGTTCTAAGCTGAAGTTAGTGTCAATTAACATTTGCTCAAAAAATTAGTCCAGTTCTAGTTAGTTCAGCTAAGAGTTGAATTCATAACCCAGAATGAGCCCAAAGTCATTTATAACACTTTCTGTGTGGCAAGCCTTGTATAACTGGCACACTCAACCTTTCAAATGACTCCAGACAGGTATATTGCCCATCTTCAGATATAGAAAATCAAGCCCCTGGGGCAAATTCACAGAGCTGGCAGCAAGGAGAAAAGCTCAAGTAGTCTGTCCAATTCCAAAGCTTATACCTTTAAACTCCTTTCAGGTACGTTTCCAACCAGAGTTGAAAATTTTGTCGGACAAAGAGAGGACAATGCATCAGACTGGCCTTTGGACAAGGGACAACCACCCTATCTAAAGCAGCCCAGCACCACCACCCACAGCCATTTCCATCAATCAACTTGTTTCAGCATCTGCGCCTGGCATTGCATCTACTCGCTTCACCAAGACTGAGGGTACCTCCACTCTGCTCCAGGAATTGGGGATGCAGCAGTGAACTAGCTGGGCAACCATCTCCGTCAGAGCTGACCTTGTTTATTTATGAACTTGTTCCCACTTCCCCTACCAACATATGAGCTCCAAGAGGGCGGGAACCACTTATGTTTAGAACCTGGGTGCATGGCTCCCTCTGGCAGATGGGTACAACAGGCAGTAATGTTTGTCAAGAATTTCATCCATGACACCTTCAGCAATGGTACAGGAAACTAGTCAAACGACTCACCAAACTAGTTGTACTCCCATGCAGAGTTCCTCACAGTGCACTGTCTCAGTGCCATACTACAACGGCCATAGGATACAGTTAAATAAAAGTTCTAAGACATCCTAGTATTTTCGCATTATCAAAACACACAGTGGGTTAGTCATCTTTAAGAGTTAATTCTTCTGTACAAAAACACCCAGTACGAAACAGCCACAAAAACCACAGCAGGTAGTAAATGCATATGAGGAAAAAGGATTCTAAAATAGATTTTTATTGTAAAAAAAATAAAATAAGACAAACTATTCTGAATCAGGTTCCTTCTTCTTTCTTCTTGTTCCTTTCGAGTAAGTCCCAGACTCAGTTCTTTCCTTGCTGTCTTCAGTCTGTTGTGACAACCACTCCTTTTCAAGCTGTTTCAGCATGTCTGGAGTGAGGAGTCCCTGCTGCACCAACCTGGAAGCAAGGGACAGCTCTCCTGCATTGGGACTGAGGGGCTCAGCAGCTTTACTCCCTGCAGCTTTGGTGCCACGCATCCTTCTAGCTTGGCTCTTCGAGGTTCCTGACACCTGAGACTGATTCACTGCTGACAAGCTCTCCAAATTCAACAGCTTATGTGTCTCAGAAATTTTAATCAGTTTGGTGATGTTGTGTACACCCTCCTGGATAATGCCATCCAGTTCTTTCTGGAGGTCTCGAATGAGGCTGGCATCTGGAAACATATCCAGAAATCGATAGCTGGGAAAAAGAACACATCACATTA